AATACAATAGAACATGTCAGCAGGTTCATCTCTGTTTCTCACAATTTGATTAGTATTTTCTTAATTCTCATATAAATGAACTTACTGTGTAATATTAGAGTATTAATAACTAACGTATAGGTCATACACAACAATACAGATGTCTATTATATCCTTCTCGGTCGTTGTTCAGTGAAGTCTGACCATAAGGGGGAGCCACTTGACAAACTCTGACTCTAAGAACCATCTCTCATGCGCACCCCACCTGCTGTTACACCCTCTGAGCACTTTATTAGGAACACCTATACACCTGCCTATATGCCATATCTGGGCCAATCCTGTGGCAGCAATGCAGTGTGTGAACTCCTGCAGCTACAGGAGCTTCAGTAAATGTTCACATGAAACATCTGAATGTTAGAAACATGTGACCTCAGTGACTTTGTCTTTGATATGTCTCTGCCCACCTGATAGTACCCAGTTACGTCTCAGTGCTCAGAATAAATAATAGCATGTGCGATAATTCACACATACATATTCTTATACAGTATACAACTGTTCTCCATCTTGGAATGGATATAGTTTTTACTATTGTATTTGACCTTTATGTTTTTTTATGAAGCTCTTTCAACTTATTTTAATTTTAATTTAATCATTTCACTGCTGAGCTGATCTGTTTCCCCCTGTCCAACCTTTTCATCGTACTGTTGAGCCTGTGATAACTTCCACATGACAAATACTCTCTTGAAACTTGAAATTTGAAGTGCCTGACAGCACTCTGTGTTATCACAGGCTTCTAGTATCTAAGTAAGGAAAGCATGAATTTATTCACTTGCTTTGTTTTCGAAAAACTTTGTCATTCACTTGTTCAGGTGTTGAGGATGTCCAGACTAATGTTAATCCCAGGAAAACAGATTCTCTCCCTGTTTCAGGTAAATATAAGAAATACTGTGAGCTGTGAACAATAGATACATCACGTGTAAATCGACTACAATAGGAAGGGATCGCATCCAGTTGTCATTTAGGAACGTTTCTGGCAAACATGACTTTCCAAAATATTATTTTTTGATTTCGGCTCGGTTGGCGGGGACCACAGTGGGACTGGGTCTCATGCACCTCATCCTCTGGTTGGAGCCTGTGGTTGGCGCTCCCGTCAGAGCTGGAGCCTCCGTGGGTGATGGAATTTTAAACACATTAGTTTACCTACAATACAGCGTCTGCCTTTGTGTGGAGTTCCCTCTAAAAGACCTGATGACGAAAATGTGAGTGATTAAATGTTCGATAAAAAATCAATTCTCTCAGAATGACAAAACTGAGAGTGAAACACAAAGGAACACTCATCCACATGTTCGTCCTTGCACCTACAGCATACGTCAGTCTGCATGTGAAATTCATATCATCTTTGTTTCTACTGCCTTAAAATGATCAATACCAGCAAAGTGAAGGTAAGTGAAGAAGGTTTATTAAACATAGCACCTTTATCAGACCGAAGTAACCAAGTGCTTCACATGAATAAAATAACACTAGGAAGTTGGAATAATGTGAACAACATGCAATAGAAGAGACAATAAGAGCACGTCGGTTCAAACAGTGTACACAGTGTTTAAGGCTTCAATAGATGCAAATCTATAGGGAGAGTACTCTGTAGTGTCAGGGCCACAACTCTGAAGCACCTTTAGTATTTATTCGGTAATGTGGGGTGACCATTAAGCCCTGGTCAGAGGATCTACTGTATGTGATCTCCTCGGGCTGAACGGATGGAGCAGATCAGTGATGTTTCTGTAGCAGTCAGGTTGAGCTTTTAATGTTGTTTGAAATACGACATTAGTTACTCCCTAAAAATCCATAAAGGAAGTGGATGAAGTCCTTCTGCTCCCAGGACAGAAAATGTCTAATTATGGGGTTGAAGTATTGATCCCTGGTCCAGACCTGTGGGACAGAAAACCAGCATGAGATGCTGGTTTTTTAAGGCCTCCTTGCCGCTGCCTTCAGAATCGGGAAAAGAGCTTCACCTCCTACACACATCTTCCTCCTTCAGGTACTTTTCCTGCTCACTGTGCAGCTGTTAAGGATGTGTGCGTCCATACTGTCAATCCCGTTGACTTCCCTATAATACAGAGGAATGTGAATGTAGGAGTGGACCTATTCTACACACCAGGATGATCACACCGACTCACTTTCTGCATCCCCATCCACCTCACACTTTCTCTATCGCGCACACATTTCCCCCTTTCTTCACGCTCTCACTCTCACGCAGCTTTTGTTCCCCTGCAGTCTTCTTGTTGTCCTCTTCCTCTATGCTTTCTGCCTCGCTGGCTGTTTTGCTGACAGACCGCAGCTGGATGTCATAGCTGTGATAGAGGCGGGATCCTGAGTGTGTAGGTTGGCCTTTAGAGTCACTCTGCATGGGGAAAGCCCACACAACACTCCCACACACCTTACCCATACACAAGGGAGGGATTCCAGTCCCCACAAAGGGCACTTCCTTGTTGGATGCATTCATTCGTTAAATGCCAGATTTTGTTTTTATTTCTTTTTAAGGAGGAAGAGTGCTGCTGTTACTCTTCGACTGAATCAATCGACATTATAGATTGTTTTTACTATCATCAAAAGCATCAAAACCAATCAATTCTAACTGCTCAAAGCATTTAAGCAGGGCCACAAGGACACTGAAGTGTGGCCCTCTGTATGTTCTACAGCTTAAAGCATCATTTTAGAGCTGAAACATCATTTTCAACCAGGGTGGCTGCTTGGAAGACTTTCATGAATTTACAAATTCTTATCCTGTTTATCTGCAGCTATTTTTGTGCGTGGTTTGTTGCATTTTTTTAAGCTGTTCGTTTGCATATCCACAAAAACGATGCTAACAGACAGCTTATCGTCCACGATCCAAATAATGAAAAAAATATCAGAGGTTAGTGGGAGGTGTTGTCAGACTCATACAGCAGGTAATACTTTCAGGAGAGGATTAACAAACAAACAGTATCGCCCTGGTGAGTATTTTTGTATAACACAGGAACCATGTGGCACAGAAGAATGAGCCTTTGATACACACACAGTACTTGTGATATAGATGTGTCCATTGTTGGTTTGGCTATTTTTTATTGACAGTTCTGTATCTTTTTGATTTGAACAACTGGACTCAAGAGATGAAGAATTGGATTGTTTTCATGTTTTAGAGTTGTTGGCTAATATAAAACCATTGAGGTTTATTTTTCTATTATCTATGTGACATTTGCAGTTAACTCCCAAATGGTCAGACTAGTGTGAATGTGAAATCATAGTTAACAATGGTTGAGTATTACATAACTTTTTACCAAATGGTTGTTTTGTCTTATCCTGTCGTAATTCTGTCAAATAATTGTTTTTTTAAGTGATTTACCTGACAGTTGTTTTTATCCTTTTATTCTTAAACTGTTGTTGTATGTTTTCTTTTTGTAAATGTTTTAACTGCTTTTATGTGATTCACTTTGTGACTATGTGACTATACCAATAAAGTTATTGTGGTGATGATGATGATGAAGATGATTATGATTATTATTGACGCACTACGATGCTTTAAGATAAAATCTCTCAAATGAACTCTGCCAACAAATAAAAATCCCCTTGCGTTCCCATGACTTTCTAATCAGAGGTGCCTCCTTCTCCACACCTCCTCTGTGTTCCTCTCTTCCAGCCGCTGACTGGTTTCCTGCTGCATCAGAAAACTACAGACATTATTGCTGCTGTGTCGTCATTCCTGTCTTGTCCTGTCAAAGAGACAAAGACACCCTTGGATGGACGATACGATGAGGTGTCTGTGTGACAACACACTGACAGCCTCTTTCTGTTTAGAGAGCTCTAATAAAAACAGTGGCACAGGATTTTAGTCAGTCTAGCAAATCCAAAAAAACAATCAAACAATCAAAACATGAATGGGGATGTAATTTGAAATGAACTGTGACCAGGTAAACCGTGGGAAAATCTACCGCTACCAAGTTGGCTAAACATCAAAAGCACATGCACGATCAAGTTTCTGAATATTTTTCAAACCAACTCAAAAAACGAAAAAACTTTTACAAACACAGATAGATGAGATGGATCTACTGTGAGAGAGCTGGTGAACGGCAGCGCTGGAGGGATCAGGAGAAAAGGAACCGCAGGGGTCTAACACAGTACACTGGTAATTGTCAAACACACACACACAGATGCATAGAGAGAGAGTGAGTCTGAAGGAAGCATAAGAAAGTCTATGTTTGATAAAAATGTATCATCATTAAATGTGTTCCCATCAATCACCATTCCACTGGACCTGAAACTGACAAGTATGTTAATACAGAAATTAACTGTTGACAAAACTAAGATGTATTAGGTTTTTAAATGACTTTTAATGTCAACATTTTTGGGAAATAACAAACACTTGTTTACCCGTAGCCCCCTCGAATACAAACCATGGAAATGTTCCAGTGGCAGACATGGTCATGGTAGAACATTTCTAGCGGCAATAACAATAACAACCACACTGCTGAAACCTTTCGGGACCATTGGAGTTTCTTCTGCCGAACATGAATTATCTGCAGAATATAACTAACAGTTTTGGAAGGTTATTACGTCAGCAAAACTTTTACATTCACATGAATCCATCCTCTAAGAAGTATGACAATGGTAGAACCAGCTTTTTCCCCTGTGTTCTCCCTCCCCCCACTGTTTCTTGTGTATCTACCTGGAGCTGGGTGGGGCCTCATGTTAACTACCTTCCCAGCTGAGCCTCATCTCATCATCCACTCCACCTCTCCTCAGTCTGCAAACCCCCGCTCGTTTCTCCTGTCTTCACCGGATCGTCTGTTCCCCACATCTTGGCTCTGTGATTCAACTTCTATCTGCGAGTGACTTTTTTGCGCCTTGCTTTTTTGCTGCATACTTACCCTCTGCTCCCTTTTGTCACAGAACCAGCTGTGCAGCGTCCACCTCCCTCTCCCTCCTCTGCTCTGGCCTCAGCGTGCCAGCTCCTTCTGCCTACCCCCCCCCCCCCCCCAGCTCCAGCTCCAGCAATCAAGCAATACACTTTTTGTTTTACTACCATCTCTCTGCTGTGTTTGTGTTTTGCAATTTGGGTCCCAATCCCATCGGTTGAGTCAGTGTGGAGGTATGTTGCTGTGGACCAATGTGTAAGTCAGCAGGATGGATTGACAGGCCTCCTCTCAGAAGGCAGCGGGAGCAGCAGGGGGCTACAGAGCATGAGGGGCTGCAAGCTGGGAGGAGGCATGGTGTAGTAGTAGTGACTGTCGACAGGGAGACGGATGACTCCGTCAGTACAGCGCTGCTGAAAGTGCACTTGTTCTTCAGTTTTATCACTGTTGCTTGGGGCCTGTTCACACCTGGCATCAGAATGTGTCACCACATGTTTCTATGAGACCCACTTCTATGCTGTGAATGCAAATCAACCTGTGCATGCATTTCTGTTTACAAAAAACTAAATGTATTGTTAGATGTTAGGCTACAATGTACTTCCTGTGCCCAGCCTGCTTGAAAGTAAAAGAAGAAATCGAAACAACGAAACTAGTTTGATTCCAGTTTCACTCTGTTCCAGTTCGGCGGTTTGATCCCCGTCTCCCCCATTCCGTGTGCTGAGGTGTTTATTGGTCAAGATACTCAACCCCAAATCGACGGCTGTGCTGGCATGTATGAGCGATGTAAAATGGAGAAAGTTCGGCACAGTGTGAATGGAAAAACTGTACTGTAAAGTATATTGAGGGTCCATCAAGATGAGAAAAGTACATAAATACAGACCATTTATATTTTTCATTTATATTTATGTATCACACAGTTAAAAGAATGTTTCAATCCATTATTAATCACTGTTGTTTTTCATTTTGACTTTGCTGCCAACATAACTTCCTGCGCTTCCAACACTCAACAGTTGAAGTGAAGGTGTGTAGTAGTCTGCATCAGATTTTCAAGTTATTGGGACATTAAATAAATATAACCAGCACACCGATTTATGATCCTGCTGTGCAGTTATTTCATTTAAAAAAAAATCTGAATTGTATCGTTTTTAATTGAACATTATTATAGACACATTTTTTTCACACATACTGCTTCTCAATTATCCACCCACCTCCTGCAGCAGCTGCAGAAGTAATTCCTGCTGCGTTGCTCTTTGTATGATTATTGTAATGCTATATTTTCAACATTCTCCAAAATCAGAACATTGTGTGTTTTATCACACATGCAAAATATTGATCAACAATATTTACTGTATTGGTGAAATTTTACATTTATCAACACTGAAGTCTTCTAACGTTGTTAGAGTCTCCCAACAAAAAGATGATGAATGGAGATGAAGGGGTGTGATGGGGGTGTGTGTCGTTCCCTGGCAGAAGCACTGTATCAGTTCCTGTCTGTGGTTGAACATTAACAGGCTCTCCATCACAGGCTGCCACAGTGAATGGGAGTGAATGTAGCTCCGGCTCTCTGCTGCATCCTGAGGCCCTGCTGAGGCAGACAGGAGACTGCCAGTGTCTCATCATCACGCAGCTTCAACAGGACCCTCTGTCTTTGTTTGTCTGGACGGGACAAGACAGGGATGACAAGACGTCAGCCATAACGGCCTCGTCTGTAGTTTTCTCCTGCAGTCTGTGGTCGGCAGAGGGGAAGTGCAGAGGAAGTACGGAGGTGGACGAGAAGCATTACACTGAACTTTCGTTAGTCACCAAACAGCCTGTTGCCCACATGTCTACAGTGGTACCGGAATCAGCAGAATGTTCATCCCCTTTAAAATCACATTTAGTCCATAGTGCAGCGGTTTTTAAAGATATTGTGTTTTATCACTCATTTCTCTTTTAATTTTATTGTGAATATTGTAAACCTACTACAGCTGTCTCTGTCTACATATTATTGCATGACTATTTCAGTGTATTTTTCTTTTTAATTTAACTTGTTGTTTATTTATGTGGAGTTTGTCCTTATATTTTTGGCTATGTGAGTGACTTACCAATATAAAAATCAAAATACAGAACATCAGTCTCTTTTTTGTCTGATTTTCATGCCTTTACTCTTGAAGATTTGTGTTAATTTAATCACAATTACACAGGACAAATTAAGATTGTTTAATCAAATATCATGTTTAAAGAGGTTTGCAAATCAAAGTTATTAAAACTAGCAAATCTGTAAATAAAAATAAATATAAGAAAATAAGTTATTCTTTCATAATACACACATATATATTTTATTTCCATGCCATGCCAATGCATTGGGCCCGTCACTTTTTGGTATTAAAAAACTTCTTCTGGTAAAACATATAGAAAATAACCAAAAATGTTTGGAGTAGAAATGAACAACGTGAGCCCGGTGATGAGGGCGGTCTTGTCGTCTGTGTCTCGTCACAGACACACTGAGGTCATCAATCTCTGGACGTCTTTGTTCTTTGGGAGGGACAAGACAGCAGTGACAACACTTCAGCCATAATGACCCAGTCTGTAGTTTTTTACTCAGCTGAGGAAGGAAGGAATCACAGAGATACAATACACGAGAAAAGTCATAAACACTACTGGTGACAAAGAGTGTGCTGTGTTGGTTTATTATGGTCAGATGGAAAACATTAGCTTTGTGGGGCAAATACTGAAGGAACAATATGTTGATGCTTTCAGAAAGAAACAGAATACTTTTATTTTTTAAACTATTCGACTTTATCCTCAAACAGAGAGATAGTACATTTTATTTTGATGTAATATTATCTTCTGTGCCCACGCTCAGTGAAAAAGAGAAAGACAGTTTTAAATAATATGAAAATCAAAAAATCAGTTCAACACAACTCCCCTCTTAATAATGTATACATTGACATCCAGTCATCTAGCACAGTTTAATTTTCTATTGTCCACTGTGTTAAGTTTCATTTAGCTATTATAACCTTTTCTGGGAGTTTGGTTTGGGATTGTGCAGTTCACAGATATGGATGCGAATGAGCGATTTATAGATCAAGGCAATGGTGAAAAGAAAGGATCATACTCTGGGTAAAATAAACGTTCCACAAAGTCTGGCGATAAATCCCTGAGATATTGATTGTTGATAACTTATAACCGGCATGTATTGATCCAGTCCACAGTGGTAAGACAAAGCAAGACAAAGACACACCTCAGGCCTGACTATGAATACTTTAGGACGGAACAAAGTCATGAAATCATGAATTTTCTTCATCTTTTTTTAAAATCTTAAAATCACTCACCATAAAAAACTTCACTTAAAACTAATAAAAAATTGTTCCATGGGTTCTCTAAGCATAACAACCCACAATTTCTATAATGTATGACTCTTGCAGCAATAAGTAATGGGTAATAGGTATTGATCTGGACTATTCTGTGACCACAGGGCATTAAGAGAATGTCAAGCTATCCATCTGCATGTGACGAGAGACTCACGGATTGCATTAAACAACCTCATCTGAATGTTGGGAATGCGGGCTGTCCATCCTGCTGCACGGCACAACATCTTGTCTCCGTAAATCATTGGATTGACTGGTGCTGTAAAATCCAAAATGAAAATCACACTAAGCACATCAAATCCACTGCATATCCAAAATGTGAAAAAGGAAGTTTGAGTGATTGTTTGGGGAATTGCATGTTCTCAGCAGCCTCCTAATTACTACCAGGAGAAAATGTGCAGTCGCTTAAAGAGACAGGAAAGTGAATTTTAATCCAACAGCGGCTGGTGACATCCATAAAGATGTCAAAGGATATGATAGTAGATAAGAAGAGCGTCGACACATGCCCTGCCACCTCTACTGATAAATTCAGGAAGATGGAACGTATCTTGACATCTTAAGTAATGAGGTAATCAGTAATAATGGTTATGGAGGACAAGTTAACACTGAAAGACAATCTGCGTCTCTACAGTGATCGTTATCATATAGACATCATGGTCTTTCCTATCTTTTCATAGCCAATTTATCTCATCTATTTAATTAAAATGCTACATGCACATATAGCTATGCTAAGTGCTATGTATGTTCAATTAAAAATCATTGAAAATTTGTTTATAAAGACGTGCAAGAAAAAGCCTTAAAATATTTTTTTTCCTAATCTTGGGTTAGATAATTACTGCAGTTAAATTAAACTAGGTGTTTTTGTTTGCTTCTACATATGGGTCGGTGCTCTGAACGGAAAAGAGAGAAATTATGAAACAATTGTTTGTAATGTGACAGTGCCCACTCTCATGTGCAATAATCACTGTGAATTTTCAGGTATCTTTGTA